ACTTACAGCGTCCAAATTTTATAAAACAATTGAAACGGCAACATAAATATGAGATACAGTGATTAAGGAAAACTTAAAAACATGCGTGTATACGAAACATTAAAAAACGTTTGCATGCCAAGATCCATTCTATTTCTCTAACCCTTTATACTTAGTCCTGTACCTTATATCCCGATTTCAGTCCTTCTGTTTTAATAACATCCCCACAGAAATATTATTTCAAAGTTGTTACCGCTCACGGAAAATGCTATAAGATACTTTGTAGGGAGAAGATAGTAATACCTTGGAAAAAGCAATATATATCTACAGAAGAACTGGACGACAACCTTCATTAATAAAATTTCAGTATCAACTTATTTACGGATCAGTTCATAGCACAGACAAACTGATGTCAACTATATGGTAAAATGATTATACTAAAATAGATTATAGTACACCTAACAAAAAGTCAAAAATATATCACAATTGATAAATCACAACAATAATTGCAATATTAAATATTTTGAATGAACAAATAAACTGCAACTATTAAAACATACAACAATATTTTTTTTATTCATTTGTTTCATTACAATTAAGAGTATAAACAGATAAAAATTCAACAAATAATAAACATGTCTGGCTTCCCTTTCTCTCACGCATATGTCAGCGGAAGGCAGGGTCCCCCTCTCTCGTCGGACAGACGTTCAGTGTTTAATGTGCGATAGACATATACTGTTGACAGAATAATAAAAATGTAACCCGCAAGCACGTAATATTTTTTTATTATGTAAAACGTGGCTTGAAAATGATGATACTAATTTTGTGTATGTACATTATAAGTATCATTATTGTCAAATTTTATTGCTTGAAAAATTAATAACTCATGAGGTGAAATGAACGGAACTATAGTTTTTGTCAACACAAGTAGAGTGACTTGGTGAAAAAACAACACATAATAAAGGGCCATTTTCTTGTTAATCAGAGTATATAAATAAGTTGTAAATTGTTTTTGAATAGGTGAATGTGTTATAATTTTGATATACTGTTTTTGAACTACAAATTCTATTTAAAAATTCAATTAAAAATTTCAATGATAATTTTCATTTTCCACGAATCTTTTCTGTTTCAACGAAGTACACTTCAACATATATGTCCCCAAATTTTCATGCTGCTATTCAATAAATGATAACTGATAACGCCTATGCTATTATATCATTATACTCGTACAATCATTTAAGAAATATAGTACGACTCGTCGGTTATTGTAAAATGTCTGAGATTTATTTATTTTGACTTGATATTGTTTTTGAACAATCTTATCACATCTCGTACTTTCCACTTTACTTCAATGAAAAAGAAATCACACTACTTACAAGACTCCAAACTGTAAATTCCTCGACCGTATAATTTAAAGAATCTCCAACGGGAAAATTTCGTTTTTCCATCCAGAATCAGAAGGGCAAAAAGAAAGGGGTGCGAAAGTATTTGCAAAGTGCGGTATCAGGTGCAACTTTAATCGAAAAATCTCTGTCTTAATCCTCAATTATTTCTTAAATATTCAAAAGGCGGTCGGAGTTCTTTCAATAGAAAATCCTTCCATGAGCGTAGAAGATTAACAAGACTGCCGGAACTAATTTAAAAAAGCGCTCATCAGATTTTGTTCGAACTCTCAAATTGAAACTGAGATCGATAAAAAATATAGTAAATACATTGACACTGAGATCGATAGGATTTCAAAACAGATCTACTTGAGATGTTAAGAAAAGCTCTTGGCTTTTTGCTTATCCATCTTCATACAAAAAACTGTGAGAAACTTCCTAAGGAAGGAAGAAATCAATTCACTTTAAAATAAACTCTTTACAAAGATATGTAGATCGTGCTTAGAAGTTACTTTCAGATACAAACTGTGAGAAAAATCTCTCTGAAACAACTACTTCCACATGAATTTCGAATTACATGAAGGAAAGAGAACCTTCGAAACAACTATACATATGAACATTGAATGTTTTTCCAGAAAGTTGCTGATGAGCTAATAAGACAAGTGTCTTATTCCGAAACTTCGATGTCCGCCATTGAGATAACAGTAACATTACGACGTAATGTTATCCAAAAAGGTGTTTATGAGGCAATAAGACAAGTGTCTCATTCCGAAACTTGGAAGTCCGCCATTAAAGATGATAGTTTGCCATTTAAGTGAGTTTTATATCGTTAATATTCTTTCGTTCCTATGAATGATATTTAATTGAATTCCATAACGAAAGTTTTGAGCACAAACTGTTCTATGTAAATATGGAAGTAGTTGTTTCGAAAGTACTTTTTCTTTCATGTTAGTGTTAATTTGAAAGTAGTCATTTCGGAAGGGATTTTTCTTCCAGTTTGCATCTGAAAGTTTTTTTTATATTTTTTTTAAGGACAAAACACAAGCACTACAGGAAAATCCTTAAGGCGCTCTCTGAGAGGTGCCTGTGCGAAAGTAGCGAGTCACATTGGATATGAATCGCTGAAGATTGAATCCATTTGAAAAAACTTTCTCAGGAAGTTTATTCCACATGAATGCAGTTCTCCAAATGAAAGAGTTCTTAAGCAGTGAAGTTCGAGGTGTATTGAGTTGAACCTCAAAACGATGAGCAGCCACAGTCCGTCGCGTATTTCTGATATGTACCGCTCTTGGTGGAATCAAATGTGCCAAGTCACTTGAACACTTCCCCTGAAATTATCTATAGAGACAAATATATAGAGACAAATCTCCAACCTTTCTTCGATGTTCCAGGCTATCAAGGTTGCACGTGACGTTCGCGTCTCCAATCAGGCGGATGGTTCTTTTCTGGATGGAATCCAGCAACTTCAGGGTATTTTTGGGGGCAGAGCTCCATAATTGAGAACAATACTCCAAAGAAGGTCTGATCTGAGCTTGATTAAGCATCAAACGTTGCTGAGGTATGTCTGTTTCGGAACAGTGTTCGAAGTAACTTCTAAGCATGATCTACACATCTTTGTAAAGTTTAATTTTGAACTGAATCGTTTTCTTCCTTCTTCAGGAACTTTCCCACAATTTGTTATATAAAGCTGGAGAAGTAAAAAGCCAGAAGCTCTTGTTCCCAAAAACTAATCTCACCGAAAATGAAAATGTCATGAAAACCTGCCTCTTCTTAAAAGAATCACAGGATGGTATGGAAGGCGTTATATAAATAGAGTAGAGACTGATTGATAGTTTTAACGAGAACAGTTAGGGAAAGTGAGAGATCAATTGCGACCAACGATCCAAACTTTAAGTGGAGTAACATACGATTAATACCAATAGGTACTCGTATTACATAAATTGCCCTCGTTCTTGAAATTTCCATATTACCTCTGAATGAGAAATAAAATTGAAATTTTGTTTGCTCTCTTCAAAATCTTTTGATATTTGGTTTCTAAGAAACTTGTGAGTTGATTTTTGGTCTAGATCCAGAATAACACATTATGGTACGTAGGTTGATCCAACGGCAGCCTATTTGATAGGTGATGACATCTCCCCATGCGAAGTCGCCATCTATGGAGTTGCAAGGCAACTAGATGCAATGATTTATTCATATTCAGATTATTTTTTTGTATTGTAAAGTTTTATGAAAAAGTTTAATTCAATTTGTTTTCTTTCATGGCAGAATATAACTTTAGATTTTCTAGAGTTTTCTTATATTACCATCCTACCTTTTAATTACCTACTTATTTCGTTGTCAGAATTTAAAGATATTATTCAAAGCATTTAGCAATTCACCCGAAAATATATGTAGTGAATGTTGTTAGTTACGAAGTATGATGACTGCAAATAAGAATAATAATAGTTGTCTCTGTCTGATAATCTTTGATTCAGCTAAATTACTTATTTTTATAATTTTACGGTAAACGGTTAGAGAAGATAGTAAGTAAATAACAACCAAAATGCACGCCAATGAGCCCTTCTTCCACATAATGGGGATTATTTTCACTGAAAACCAACAATATTTATTAAAGAATTCTGATTAGATTTAGAGATACGATAAGAAATGTGTCGACAATTTTATGGGGCTTCGTTTCACTGCTTGAAATTATTTTATTAATGGCTGAACACAACTAGTCTAAACCCATTTATTAGTAGGGTATGTTAATATAACATCACTTATTCAACGAATGAAGCTGTTAATTATCCAATTACACTTATACGGGGTGATAAACTGATAAGATACATTTTACTGGTTTTAGCGGTTTTACACACTAGTTTGAGTGGTAATGAAATCAGAACTTCAATTATAACATTCTAGTAGAATGGAATATTTAGACCAGAGAGAGTGAATTTTTTAATGATACGATTTCGATTACAATATGACACCCTTAGGACATTCATCATCTTCGTGAAGTACTTTGATTCCCTGTATTGATTCGATTGAAAGGCATGCTAATTTGAATTGTTTCAAAAATTCAAAACATGATATGTGATACATTCAATCAAATTATAAAATAATAACATAACCTGGAACATAAAAATTAATTAAAAATAATTAAAAGATAGATAGATTTGCATGCTGTGTTTGAATAAATATAACTGTAATGATAATAAAATAATGAAATGGAAAATGTACAAAATTAATGAATTATTTTGTATTTTTCAGATAAACGTATATTTTTTGAGGGAAAATTGACGTTAGTTTCATGAGAATAGTTTTGAAATAATAATAAACATCTGTAAGAAGTATATGTTCAATTACACGAATATTTTTTTATGAAATATATTTTTGCAGTAACTGTTACTTTGCTGGATTAATAGTTTTGTGATACATCGGAAAAAAATGAGAGTACCTATAAAATTATGAGAAAAAATGAACATTGGAAAAGCTTCTCAAGGTTTTCATTTAGAGCATTTTCAATGCCATTTTATCTACGTTTCATATTATCTAAACTCAGAGAAAACATATTTATTTTGTACATTCTCCAATAGAACGAAATTCAAAAACCAAATTGTAAATGATCAAAAAACCAAAAAGAGAACTTCGTGTACATACATGGCTTACTTTCGATGTGTGTGTCCTGAGGCTGGATTCGGTGGCGAAACCTTTGCCGCAAATGTTACAGTGGAATGGCCGATTTTTCGCCCTCTCTACTTGAGCGTCATGGTTTCGAAGGTGTTGTTGGAGATTCGAAAGCTGTATAAAAGCTCGACCGCAGTCCGGAAGGTGGCATTTGTACGGACGCTCTCCTGAAAAAAAATCAATAATTAAAGAAGTACACATTTTTACAATAAGAGAAAGTAAATACTTTTGTTTACTGAAGTAGAAGAAGAAAACTCAAAATCTCTTCAAATTTGTACTTGCTCAAATTCACAATAATATTTAAAAGTAGATCTGAACCTTCTGGCGTAGGAAAAATCTAAAACAAGCACTGTTTCCCAACATCAGAACTGCAATACTCATCTCGATGCGCGTTTCATCAACGGAGTTGGTGTCTTCAGGAGATAAAGCAGACTGAATCCTGACGTGTTGCAGTTCTGGTGTTGAGAAACAGTGCTTGTTTTGGAACAATAATATTTAATTTATATCAAGTACAGTGAGTACAAATTAAAACATAATTGTTAAATAGTTTACATGCAAAATTATTGGAAAGCATACAATTTTGAATAAAAAAAGATTAGAGTTCAATGAGTTTTATTCGTGAGTTTTTCTAGTTTGAATTATATTATATAATATCAAAATACAAGCACATAATATCGAATGAGGGAAATTGTTGGGTTTAATATTTGACAATCATCTGATCTGATCCGGTACTTTATTTTGTTTGTTCCATATTGCATTCATTTTTTTTAGTGGATTTTGATTTTGGCGATATCTGATATTTTAATGGTGACGCATGTGTATTCTTTCGACGACCTGTGAAACTTATATCCAACCTCAAATTTACGATGAAAAATGAAATATCTAATTATCATTTAATGATAGAAGCTATGTTCTGACCACTGCTTGCGCTACCTTCTAATTGACAGATAAAACATAAATTTCGACCCACTGAAGTTACACAATTTCTTAACTGGGTCTCAATAATGTACAAATGTGTAATAACAAACAGAATCGATTCGATACGAAATATAGAAAATATAATTGGTAATTGTGCAATTTTTCACGTCTGCACTTTCTTGAAACCATTATTTTGAATTGAAATAATCAATTAAGACTTCGACAAGGCTTTCGAAGGAATTATGGAATGAAAAAATTATCGTTTATTATTTTTTTTCCACGAAGAAGAACAAAATATCCAAAAGTTTGTTTGAAAACAGCAATTAGATCAAAAAATATATAATTTGGGTGAATCCAAAACTGAAATGGGGGCTTACCTATCACAAAAAATTCTGTTGAATCAATATAATCTTATATGCCACAAAAGATTTATTAAATGTTTTTTGTTTGGCACTCTTTCTTGCAAATTGTTCTATTTTAATTTGAAGGAAATATTTTTGAATAATTTCTTCCCGAAACTGATTTTGTGATAACTCCACCTTGAAATTTCTTTTTAAAAAATTCATTAAACTTACCCCATTTTCCTATTGAAATTTGAGTTCCATATTCGTGAAAATATTTAATATTCATGATTTATTAAGGGTATTTACTACATAATTTTATTGCTGATTAGAGATAATTTATCAACTCATCGAATTACTGAATATTCCATCAACTTTTGTGGTAAACCTGCAAAAAAGGACAGATCCAGAAAGTTTGTTTCAGAAATAGTTTCATTGAAGATCACTATTTTCAATGATTTCAGGGAAATCCTTCTGCTGGACGAACCGGAAGAATCTGCAAAAATGTCTTACAGAAACTTGCATAATAGTGTGTTTGCAGATCCCACTATGTAGGAACAGAGTGAAAAGTGGATATTTCAAATTAAGATTCATTCCATTAACGATAAGTATGTAATGAAAATTACAATTCCTGTGTGATTCATTGTTCAATATTGAAAAGAGGGGGTTTCGATATAATACGATAAGGAAAGTAGTTCTAAGATAGATGTATCCTGAAATGTATCTTTGGTACAATCATCAGATGAGATTGATGTGAAGAGATTATTCTCATTTTCCAATTATCAACAAACTTGAAGATATTATTTAGATTGGGGTTCTGCTAAATTCGATCAACGGAAGTGAAGACCATCATTGATATTTTTTTATTAGCTATCATTATTATTATTTAGATTATCATAAGGTATTGTTCTTTTTGAGATAGGCCCTAAATTCATTCTAAATATATTTCATTTGATATTTTTTTATGATATGGAAGATTTCGTGACTTTTACCCTTTGAGGAAGTTTCGTCCTATTTGGCGAGCATTTGCAACTGTCAGATAATGATTTGATTGCAACTACTACTCGGTATCTAATCTGTTGCTTGGGGCAATAACTGTGATGGACGACGATTCGCATTTATTTTAAGCCATAAAAATATTGGAGTAAGTATTCATAAATACCTCTACGATATTTTCTAACTGTTTCATTTTAATGAGAAACATTTATTTTTTTTCTCTTGAAACAAATTACTAGACAGTTCGACATACGGCATATGGTGAATGGGAATAATTATATCTTCTTGAAGTACACCTTTCTTGTATTCGTAGCGTACATACATCACGGGCACCCACCCACAACGTACGCATCATTTTGACCCCATAAACACATTGTTTTCAGTAAATATCCACCTGCCCCATCGGCCTGAATAATTCTTCGTCTTCTTCTCTTGATCCGAATAGAACTTTTATGCGATAACTCTTTGAGCAGGTGCGTTCTCTGATGGCATTATCGGATACGATTATAGCACACATGGCGTTTATTGGCCACAGATTTTTAAGGTCTATAATTTTTCTTGTCCAACAGATTTTTTATGCCAATTTTATCAGATGTTTTGTGAAGCGGCAATAATGTTGAAAATGAATAATAATTACCAAGATTATCTAATGTGATATTCAGATATGAATAAATAAACGTCAACCAGATAACTGAACTGTACTAACGTTTCCAGTAACGATTTTTGCCGTCTTCAGGGCTGCAATTTGGAATATACACTTGGTGGAACGAATCATCTCACACGTGCGTTATTAACACCTAACGATAAAACTCAGACTTTTCTTCAACAAGTGAAAAACGAACAATTTCCCAGATTTTCAGATCATTTGAAGACATATTACTATCTTTTGACAGTTTAATGTTATTTATTGTTGAGTTTCTGCAATTTAAATCTTCCATACTATACAAATAGATTGGGGGAATTTCATATTTCTCACTAAGTACATTTTTCATAGCAATGATAAACTGCCATCAAGAATTGGAAGTAGCTTCGTCTGATATTCCGCATACTGCAATATTGCAGTCAGATCTCAGAGTTTGAAGAGCGAATGTAAAATATAATGTATATACAGAATAATTAAATATGATTTTTCCTTGAGAATTTAATAATTAATGAAATAAATGATTTTGCTTTGCTCAACTTTCTTTAGATGGTTGGCGTTTCGAAAAATAACCCTTTTCTGTTTTCAAAACAAAAAAAAATTGACTCATTAACAACACGTCGATTGGAATTTGCTATATTTTTGACACACATCAAAATACTGAAATTTTCAGATGGATACACATACATAATGTTTTCTGAGAATTCAGTTTATTTTCATATTTCTGATTGTTGAAGGTGAAACATTTTATCATTTCAACAAATTCACTTGTCAGCCCCTACTAGTTGGTAAAAGTTGAATTTGAAGTGACATTTAAATTCCGTTCTATTTTGATTGTTGAGCAGGACTACATCAGCTTTTTGAGAAGAAAGCTTTTAGTTTTCTACTTTTCTATCATTGAAAGAAAATGTAGGAAACTTTCAAAGGAAGAAAAAAAATCAACTACAATAAAAACTATATGAAGATATGTAGGTATAGAATACACAGAAGTTTCTTCCAGAAAAAAACTGTCGAAATGATTAGTTTCACATGAAAATTGAATTCCGAACTAATGGAAACATTGAATTAGTTTTCAAGAAAATAACTTTTTCCCATTCAATTTGTACTCCAAACATTCGTTTTAGAATTGAATCAGATATCACAGAAACGCTACATAATATATTATATGAACGAGATACGATATTAAATCTCACTTACATGGGAAACTATCATCCTCAATGGCGGACTTAGAAGTTTCGACACTTGTTTTATTACCTCATCAGCACCTTTTTGGAAACTTGGTGAAACTTGGCTGAATAGGTCTATCACCAATGACAATGTCAATATTAATGGGTTTCAATTTTTCCGTGCTGATAGAGCGACCAGGGGTGGGGTAGTTGGTATTTACGTTAGAGACGGATTGGAAACATCAATAATTCAATCATCGAATGACATTGAGCAAATTTGGATCAGGGTCAAACTGAAGTTGAATATTTTTGGTATTGGAGTCATATACAGACCTCTACAACAAAATTATTTGGATTTTTTTAACAAATTTGAAACTGAAGTCTCAGCGATCATTACAAATGTTGATGAAATTTTTTGTCTGGGTGATTTTAATACCGATCTGCTTGATTGTAATAGCAGAAGCTCAGAGATTGCAAACGATACCTTTGAATTTCTGGGGCTAAAACAAATGATAGATGAACCGACCCGCATAACAGACAAGTCAGCCACATTAATAGACTCTGTACTAGCAAGTAATGAAGATATTGTAGCGGATATAGGAGTGAAACATGTACCAGAGGTGAGTGATCATGAACTTGTTTTTGCTACAATAAAATTGAAAACTAGAATTTCGACATCACGTTTTGTTACTATTAGAGACTTCAAACATTTGAACTATTCTTTATTTCATTCACATCTAAAATCAATCCCATGAAAAATCATTTATGAACTGAATAATATAGACAACAAAGTTGATTTTTTGTCAATAGCATCACCACACTCTTAGATATACATGCATCATTTGTTACTTACAGAATCACCAAACCATATGCTCCTTGGCTCACAGATATAACTAAACTCATGAAGGATAGAAATAAGGCACAAGTGTTGTTCAAAAAAGGAAAATCAACTGATTTTAATCATTACAAGCAAATGAGGAATATGATAACCTTAGCTGTAAAAAGAGATAAAAAGGCTTACTTTCAAACAAACTGAGTACCTCCCAGACAAATAAAATTTGGCCCACCCTCAGAAATTTGATGAGTTTTGGACAATAAGTGTTTAC